CGCATGTAAATAAAGTTTCATCTTAAATGTAAATTGCAGATAACAATGAAAGTGTTAGCCTTCCGTTCCCACATCTTTGGTAGTCTTTCAGGTGGAAACAACCAAATGTTAAGGTGATAGGATTATCTAGAATCCCTAGCAATTATATTCAAGTACCCTTTTGGTCAGCAGATGGTTCTTGATGGCCTACTGCCGCTCCCACGCTATAGGTGACGATTGACGAAGTAACGTTCAGGAGATACTATTTACATATTATTGAGATTGGAAAGAATTATCTCTATGATAATTAAGCTCTTTGTAGAGAAAGGAGAATAGTTTATTTAGAGTGGAAGTTTGGTCGGGGCAGACTATAATTTCTTACAGTCCCCTCTTTGATGCTCTTGGCCCGGAAGAAGCATCGCATCCACTCCCTTACACAGATCACACCTCCCTTTCTGGGCAGGTGCCCAGTGGCAGTGAAGCCCTGGCTTAGGTCGATCCCTGTTTATGGCCATCAGAGATTCTTACCCGTCATTGGGTCGGCACCTCATGCACGCTGGTTACAGCTCCGTTTCATTTGAGCAAAATTAATTGCTTGTTAAAAAAACAGGATTGTTTAAATTTGGAAAATGTTTCTAGGGTTTGGAAGAGGTAATCAAGAACCATCACAACCAACGGGAGCGCCCAATATTGATCATTGAACTATCTGCAATTTGACTGGAAGTTTGGTCGAGGCAGACTATAATTTCTTACAATACTATAACAATAATAATTGTTAGTGCAGATAATATGTGAACTGTAATGAAGTGTGCATCTCTTTTTGGATAACAAAGGAACCAGAAGCAGGTGAGGGTGATCAGAACAAAAAGAGCACACTAAACATGGGGTGGAGACACGTGGCTGAAAAAAGAAAAAAAAAAACCACAGAAGTGCATGCTGCACACCAGCTGGTGACTTTGTTACAGGGTCGTGAAACTTCCTATTTCAGCACTGCTTAGTTCTTGTAACGTTGTATGCATTGAGATGGTTTGATTTTATTTTTTTCCCCCATTTCTTGGTGTCTCAATTTTTTTAGACAATACAGTAAGAAGAGAAATGAAACAGCGCTTTATGTTTTTATGAGTTATACATTTTTAAGCTACTATGTTTACTTGTGAAAACAAATGCCAATTTAGATTTTCCCATAATAAGGGGCATATTGGGTCAAGTGGAACTCGTATGTTATGGCAGGATACTGTGGTTTTGTACTGTTATTTAATTATTTTTATTAATTGACTAATTTATGTTATTTTTCCTATAAAATATATGAAAATAGTACCATAATAAAAGAGTTCAACAGGTAATTCAGTTGCATGCTGGGATGGCTGCTGATTTTGAGGATTTCCCAGTGATGCTAGGCAGCGTTTACATATAATCAGAAAGGGAACAAGAGCCAATAATACAACTGACAACATGGAAACTGTATTTTCCCACCCATTGTAACTGTGAAAACAAGCAATTACAAAACAAGCCGATGAATTACTTATGCAGGCTTTTGTTGGTCTATAAACCATCATGAAAGAGTAATGGAAAGAGGTCAGAGTGTGTGGGAAGGAGTGTTTTTGAGAAGAGAGAACACATAACACACAACACACAGATATACACACACAGACAGCATCATGTTCAGCAGCATGTCACAGTCACAGGAGTGCAGAGGCTACAAACACGGCGATGAAACAGGTGGACTCTACGTTTTGATGCTGCTGTCCCTTTTCCCACTGTACTACTGGTGCTTTACAAACGGTGAGTGTCTGGAGTGGTTACATACTGTATGCAACCATTGGTTAGGCAGGTTTATTTTCTCTTCAGGTAAGTGTAGAGAGACAGGGCTAATCTTTATCTTTACAGGAAATTGGAGTGGAGGGAGAGGGGAATTCAGAGTTTCCACTCAGAATTTCTGGTACCAGCCAATGTATCAGGAAATGAAGGAAACTTTTACAGAAGAAACTGGAAAAAAAATCATTCCAGTGTTTATTTTGCAAATAAAAACATTCTGCACTATGCATAGTATGTGTAATGTAACAACAACAACAACAACAAAACAATCACGTCAAATGAAAGATAAAATGTATCTATTAGAGCCCAAGCACTGAAAGTTTGACTCTGGTGAGGAAATACATTTTTGGTTTAGTTATATTAAAGATGGGTCCTTTTCTGTAGCATTGTGTACGTTTTTCTCATTTTCAGTGCCTATTATTAGTGGAGTACCTCAGGGTTCCATTTTGGGCCCGCTTCTTTTGAACTTATGTTACCGCTTGGAAATATTATTAGGAGGCACAATGTTTCTTTTCATTTTTATGCTGATGATACCCAGATTTATTTGCTGTTAAAAGCTAGCCATTCAACCTATGCTGGAGTGTCTCGAGGACATTAAGAAATGGTTGTCAAATAACTTTCTCTAACTTAATGAAGAGAAAACTGAAATGATTATCTTTGGTTGCCCAAAATTGAGAGGTGATCTTATTAAGGAATTTAGTAATCATTTTCCTGTAATTTCTTCGCAAGCAAGAAACTTTGATGTCATCTTGGATTCAGAATTTTGCTTAACCAAGCAAATCAATTATGTAGTTAAAAATTTGAATCAATTGCAGATTATTTTTAAAGTTAAAACATTTTTTCTCTTTTCAAGATTCTTTCTCATTGATCCCTTTTTCGCCTCCAGATGGTTCAGAATGCAGCTGCAAGGCTATTGACCAGGGCAAAGAAATATGACCATATCGGCCCAATTTTGGCATTGCTCCATTGGCTCCCGGCCCATTTTAGGATTCAGTTTAAAATTTTGTTGTTTGTTTTTAAAGCTCTTAATGATGAAGCTCCATCTTATCTTCTTCTTCTTCTTTATTCATCCAGTAGACCTTTAAGATCTTCTGGTATGGCTCTTCTGTATGTTCCCTACTCTCATATAAAAACTAATGATGATAGAGCCTTTTCAGTTGCTTCCGTTTATGGAATCCATTTGCCTTGCACCTTCCATTATCATTTTGAAAAGTTGGCTGAAAGGGTATCTTTATTCCCAGGCATTTTAATTTGTCTTATTGTTTTTACTATTTCGTATTTTATGTTTTTATGTTTATTTCATTTTTATTCTATTGGACTTGGGTTTTCTCTGTTTAGCACTTTGGTCATCTTTGCTGTGTTTAAATGTAATATATAAACATATATATATAATTTACTTACTAGTTTGGTCACATGGACTGATTATATGAATGTAACAGTCACAGCACCACCAACTGGCAGCAGGAAGTGTGTCATTTTGAAACACACTTTGAAATTTCTTATATTTACCTGAATTGTTTCAAACTTGGTCAGAATGATGTCAAAACACGGCTGATGTAAAACTGCAAAAGGATTCTTGATATTTTCAATAGTGTTGCCAGGGTAATGCATCAAGCTTTAATACTATTTTTGTGTGTTGTTGAGGCTCATAGCATGCTTAAAATTTCATGAAATTCAGCACAGACATCAGAGTTGTTGGCTGTCAGTCGTATTTGTGTGGAAGGGGGGGCTCTGTAACGCCACTTTTGACTGAAGTGATGGGGTTAGTTTGACCTACAGTCACCAAACTCGGTATATATATTGTTCTCATCAAGCCGGACAACTTTCTAATTTACAGTCATTAGCTCCAAACCAAAGGAAGTCGGCTATTTAGTTTAAATGTGGAGTTTTTTTTTTGTTTTTTTTAAGTGTAGGCTCTGAATTTTTAAATACTCCTCCTAGAGTATTCATATGATTCTCACAAATCTTGGTCAACATTATTGCAAGACATTGCAGATGGTAAATTGTGAACAGATTTTTGATATCTTTCACAGTGTTGCCATGGTCAGGGATTAAAAGAAAGAGTCTCATATCTTAAGTGCATTGTCTAATATACTGTAGATTAAATTGGTGTTGTATGTTTTCTTATGAAGGCTGATGGATGTGGTTATTGTGGCTCATGATGTGTAGTGTCACATACAACAGATTTTGAAATATTCCTCTTATATTAACCGCTTAAATGCACATGCGCACTATGCATTTTGATAAATCAACCGTATGGTGGTGGCCCTGTTGTGTTTGGGCCCAACATTTCTGCATGCAGCTACTTTTTAAATGTTTTATGTTTTTGAACATTTTCTCTCAAGAGTGTAAGCAGAGCCGTGTTATTTTGAGTTTTTGAAATTCAGAGTCTATTATTGTACTTATATTTTTCTACATTAATTTATTGCATATTTTGAAAGTAAGTTTGATTTGTCACTGACGTGTTACTCTCCATACTGTAAAAAACTTCACCTTAAATTAACCAATTATTTCACCATCAGTGACAAAATAGCTTTCTTCATAACACTTTCTCTAAAACAGATGAGAAATGTAACACTCAGTTATCAATTTTTGATGAGATGTTGTTTCTCTTACAGAAAGTACTGAGGATGAGTTTGAAATATCCTTTGTTTGTCATCGGCCTGATGATCTGGAAATACTACAGGAAGAGACTGAATTCAGCAAGAAAGAGCTGCAATTCCTCTACAGGGCCTTTAAAAATGTAAATGTTCCTCTACTTAGATTATACAAGGAGGAACGTCAGCACATTAGCTGGGAATATCATCCTTTGTATGGCACAAATAATTGTTACCTTATTTCTCTATTGTATAACCTTCATTTACATTTTCATTATTTTTTTTCTTAAAGACATAATCATTCATTGCATATTGAATTATGTTGAAGGTTTTTGGCCACAGTGGTGTTTTTATAGGGTTTATTTTAAGAACTGTTGTGCATTTCAGGAATGTCCCAGTGGAGTGGTGACTGAGGATGTGTTTAAAATAATTTACTCTCAATTCTTCCCACAGGGAGGTAAGACAGAATATATATATTGTAATATTTTTGTTAATAATATAATGTTAATTAAACTTCAGATAATTATCAATGAATGCCTATCTTTACCTCATGCTGAAGGCCTAGACGCCTTGGCTCTGATTTGTAGGGGTCCAAGCACTGAAGATGCTGGAACCAAGTTGTTTAAGCTATAATTTTACTATTGGTTTGTATTTTTAAAAATTCTCCAAATGTGTTTGAATCAAAAACTTTAAATAGATCTCAAACTTGGTGGGAGGATCCAAAATCCCACCCACTACTCACAAACACATTCTGGGTGACTCTAAAACAGGCACTTTTACATTTGTGCTCTACACAACCATATGGTCTAGAATCAAAATGATTCCCTTTCTCTTAGTCAGTGACTACACAATGGATATCTATAAATTCCATTTGCATCTATAATATCTATCTATTTATGTGTATGTGTGTGTGTGTGTGTGTGTGTGTGTGACCCTGGAGCACAAATAAGTCGCTGGGGTATATTTGTAGCAATAGCCAACAATACATTGTATGGGTCAAAATTATAGATTTTTCTTTTATGCCAAAAATCATTAGGATATTAAGTAAAGATCATGTTCCATGAAGATATTTAGTAACTGGTTTTGTGGTCCAGGGTCACATATACAGTAGACAAAATTCAAGTACAATCTATAAACACTTGATTTTTTTTCCTGAAATAGTTAATCTTCATCGCTTAAAATTTGAAGGAATATTAGCTGTAGGTATACCACTGTTCTACTAACATGTTTGACAAAATAACCAAGGCATTT